TAGTTATATTTGTATTTATAAGATATGCAATAAAAGATTGTACGTTTAAATTAATATAATTTAAAAATGTTTGTATTAATGAAAAATGGCTAAACATTTGAATTGTTAATATTACTATTTGAATTATATTCTTCTCGTTTATATTTGTACGATCTTTGAATGATTATTAAATTTTTTATGTAATTTATTATTATAAAAATATTTGTTCTTTTATATTATATATATTTTCAAAGAAAATTAAATTAGAAAATATTATTTTTCTTTATTAGTATAAAATATTATCAAATGTAAAACTATTTATTATTGTCATTAATTTATTTTTTCTGTGCAATATATAGAGATTTTCTATATCACAGTATGCAATATATGCAATATATTAATATTTATTTCAAATGCTTAAACTAGCACCTTATTTATTTATCTATTTTTATAGAAAAATTTTTGCTCTCTTTTGCTTATATAGTGGCAAGATTTCAATTTCTATTACATTAGAAAACGTTTAGCAAAAAATAAATATATGAAAATTAATTGTAATAAGATGTATAGAAAATATTCCATAAAATAGCAGCTGTCATAAGTACAGTATACGTAATAATACTGGCCCACCAGACAACTTTTTCCCATGTTTTAACTTCAAGATTACGAAGTACATTTATACCTACAAGTAGGCCCGCAATGGCACCAGCAAAATGAGCAACATATCCAACTTGGTCATTGGTTTCTAATACGTAACGATTATATATCGCTTGACTGACGTCAACAACCGTTACGACAAGGAATACTAATAATTGTAAGACAGCAAATTCCATTTGCGACCAGTTCATTAAAATGGTTGCCACGTGAGCAGTAATTAATGCATATACACCACCTGATGCTCCTGCTAAATATACTGTAGGATCTGATACAGAAGTACCAAGAGATCCTGCTAAAACGCCTGCTACATATATAATTAATACTCTCCACCATTTGTGCACCATTTCCAATGGAATACCTAACATTATTTGCACAAGTAAGTTTACTACTAGATGAAATACCCTATGTAAAAAAAAAAAGTCTTTAATTACTTAATCATATAAAAATAGTTACATTTAATGATGATAAAAAACAAATACACACCCCACATGTACAAACATATATGTTAAATATCTCCATGCTTCATATCTTTTGTGTGGATTATAAATAAATAATGTAGCTGCTGGCCCTTCAACAGAAGGTGATTTATATACAATTACATCATATAAAAATAAAATAATTTCTAATATGGAAATAATTATCATTGCTAATGCTGGAGGTTTACAACTATATTCTTCTTCATATTGTCCATCAGTGATATCACTAGACCGTGCTATTTGAAAAGTAGTTGGTCTTTGTGGAACCATAGATTGTACATATCGTTGCACCAAGTGACCAAAAACACCTTGCATATCTTTTCTATGTATCTACAAAAAAATAAATTATCATAAATATTTGAAAATAATATTAATATAATATATATAATATAATTTTTTAATTATATAAATGAAAATAAGAATAAATAATAATATATAACAATAATATAAACAATATATTATTTTTAATGAATCATAATATCTGTCTCTGTGTAATACTTTAGATAATTACAAAAACATAAATTGTAAAGAATATAATAAATTTAATATAACGATAAAAGCAAAAATACCATAGCTATAAATTCTGGAAAATCTAAATATCCTGAATCATCTAGATCTGCCTTACGCATAATCATATGAACAACTCTAGTTGGAATATCATTGGAATAAGAAGAACTACGTATCATAGCTCTTAATTCCTGATATGTGATTTTTCCATCCCCATCTAGATCATATTTTTCAAATATAGCTTTCCAATGCTGAAAATGTTAAAATTATTGCAATATATAGAAAATCAAATTTTTTATTAGATTTATTATAAATAATATTTACAAAGGTTATGACAAATTATAGTATAATATAAAAATTAAATATAATTTCTTACGGAATTATTATATTGCAGTGGTATTGTTATAGCAGATTCTCCTTCTTGATTACTTGCCATTCTAATTAATTTGAAACCTCTGTAATATATAAAATGAAACAATTTAAATATGATAAAACTATTAATATTCAATATTATATATAAATTGTTATTTTAATGCTTCTAAATATTATTATAATTATTTCAAATAAAAAAAACTAAATAAACTAATAAAGAATTAAATAATGTGAAGTAATTTATCTTTATTAAAATTAATAACAAAAATAAATATTAACAAAAATACAAATTTCACATATATACACAAAGAATTAAATATATTGTACCTGTATTTGATTAATCACTAAATTGCACGCTAAATATATAAACTGTAAACGATACAAGTAACATTTACTTAATATACGTGCAACACACAATCTATGAAATTGTTTCTTCGTTTATTCATTATGAGTTGATCCGTAATTAATTTTTCTTTAGCATTATTCATACAAATGATACACCTTTATTTTATCTTATCAGATCGATTATCCGGAAAATTGACACAGAAACCTTGCGTAGTGAACGATTGACAGATATACAATTGAATATGTATTTTATATCCGCGTGATTTATAATTGTATATTGGCATGTTTCATTTATTTGAAAAATACCAATGACCTTAATACCTGTACACGAGATCGAATAAATTTTAATCAGCAATGCAAGATAAATTAAATTATCTTCAAATAAAATTGCCCATTACTCTGATCAGTTATAGTATGAAGCCAGATCCGTATTATCAGCTACAAATTACGACAGGACACGTTCGAAAAGACTTTATAGCTGAAGGTAGTTAGCGTCGCAACAGGTGAACTCGAACGACCAAGTACATCGCACGAATAGAAAGTGCCACAAGATGTAATATGGTAGAATGTAATAATTATTTTGTTACCGATTGTTGACATGCCTTTTTGGTTTTATTTTTACTTATTATTATCATGTTTTATATCTATTTATATTGATTTAATATAAAAAAGGGTTGTACGATTTAGTGATAAAATTATTTTTGTTTGATTGAAATATATATAATTTATATGTTACAACTTAATATATGTATATATATAATGTACAAATGAGTAAGATTGATGAATATAAATAGAAATATTTATTTTTAAACAATAAAAATATAATAGTAAAAAAGTTGCAATTCACGTGCACCGGCATATTAACGAGTATGTGTACATTTAACTTGATGATTCATTCAATTTTCTTAGTGAATCATAATATCTGTGTCTGTGTAATATTTTAGATACTTTAGATAGTTACAATACTTCATTTTGATTTCAATAATAAAATATCAATGAAGTTCAATGCAATATTTAATATTGATAAATATTTAAAATATTAAATAATAAAAAATATTAAATTAATAAAATATAATTCGGTGTATTTATGAGAAAATCGTCAGAATATTTATAAAATATTAAACTTATACTTATAAAATTTTGTATAAAATATATTGATTTAATAATTCTTAAGTAATCAAGTAAATAGTTCTAAAAGTAATATAATAAGTAAATAATTTTAAAATAATAAAAAATTTTACGAAAATTACATGAAAGATTTAATTATTCATCCATAAAATTATATATTATCTACATTATCCATATCATTAAAAATTATAAAAATTATTTACATAACATACAGAAACATATTCAGTTTTGAAATAGTTTAAATTTGCACATTTTATTTCAAATAATAATAATTATCATAATATATATCATTCGAATAATAAAATTAAGAATTTTTTAATAAATAAATAACAAAAAAAGACAATAAAATTAATCGAATATAAATATCGAAGTTTTATTCTATTCATGTTTTAAGAATCTTTAAAGAAATTTTCAAGAACAAATACAAATAAGAACAATTAATATTGAGAAGATAAAATATAAAATCAAAATTTCGAAATCAGCGTCATCTTTAGAGTGCCGCAAATAAAATATGTAATAAAAAAGAATAAAAAATAAAAAATAGAGATAGAATTGACTTTTAGCGTCATCTCTTGTATATTAAAGACATTTCTTTAGGATTATTTTTCTACAAATACTCAAGAGATACCATTGATTTACAATTCTTACTTTACTTTTAAAAGTCTCTTTAATAATATAGATGGCGCTAGTAGTCAATTCTTATTTTATCCTTTTTATATAATATACATATACATTTCATACATTATACAATGCGTATGTGATGACGTCGCTTAGCGATAGCAATGAGATTTAAATAAATAAAAATTTGGCCCAATGACAAAAAATGAAATATGCTATTGAAAAATCATTTACCGAATCACTTTTTTTTATATCTTATAAAATATTCTTGAAACATAGTTATTAAGTACCTATTATTGAATATGAGAAAACAGAGATTTAATATTACATAATTTTAATGAAAGATTATAAACAAAATGTTAATTCACAAATTATTTTTATAGTTTGTAATTTAAAATGTATATACAACAATACAAAATCATATATTGTAAATATTATTTCAGGAAATTTAAAAATTTAAAAAAAAATATAATTTTATTTTTGGAAATATAACTTACAATATATTAATTTTTATTATGGGAATAATTTATGATATAATATCGTATTATAATCAATTCGAGCTAAACACTTCGATTCTAAAATAAATTATATATAAAAATTAAATAAAACGAAAAATATATTATAATATATAAAAATAAAAGTTATAGCATAATTGTAGAAATAAAAGTTCATTATTTTTTTTTAATATAAGCAGAATATTTTACACAGATATTTATATGTATTTATATTTGCGAATGATGCCTATGAAATATTACTGTTTTTATTACGTTATTATACCGTTTTAAAAAGCTGACTCAACAGGATATAAGAATCTTATAACTATATTTTAATTCTATGTCAAAAGCAACTTTCTATAATCATACATAAGAATATAAAAACAAGTATAAAATACAGGTGTAATTTAGTGTGTATGCTCACACCTGTTACTAGGCAACAGAAAAATCGATAAATACATTCGTGCAACGATTGTCGATAGTTTTCTTCAGTTAGTCCTTTTGACTAGTACTCAAATGTACTTTCTTTCGAATTAACAATTTAAATGATCGATATATTTGATACTAAAAAAAATGGCAAATAAAATACGAAAGCAAAAAATAGCTGCCAATTATAAAGTTAAAGAACCTATAAGCAACTTTAAAATAAGGTAACATTTCAAAATTTCTAATAATATAATAAATTTAATAAATAACGAATAAAAAAAATTTGATAAATTTTAAAAATTACAATTTGTAATATTATTCTTTTTTCTGTTTGTTTTTATATACTGGACTGTATAATTAGCTTCAGTTGAAATAATCATTATAATGCAAAATAACGCAACTGTTTTGCCGCCGAAATGACGATAGAATTAGATCTCAGCCATCTGGCAGAAATTGTTTCTACCGTAAATTGTATTTATCTTCTGTATGTTTATTGTTTCAGAGTCAAAATCGTACAGCAAAGGCCTTTGCTTGCAGAACTCTTAGAAAATGAAGAGGATACCAGAGACTCGAATTTTCTTGAAGAAGAAGATCGTATTTTTAACTGGCAAGAAAAAGTATTTAGTCCGTTCGAAGTGAGTTTTTATAGCAAAGAGACAAATTGTCTGACTGAATCTCAAAAAGCATATTATCAAGAAATCAAAGAAAAAAATATTGAAGGTTCTCGACTTTATACCTATACGCAAAATGATTCTTATTATTTAAATGATGACTTATTAACGAAACCTTATAAGACAAAACTAGCGATCAGAAATCAAACTGCATTACCGGTTTTGCAAAATCGCAAACCTTTTTCTGAAAGATACAATAAAATGGTTATAGATAATGTACCTGATGAAACTAGGATTCGAACGAATCACTATCTTTATATGGATAGTTCTACGATGTATGTCATGGTTGACTTATCTCAACAAGATAAAATCTTAACAAGTTCTGATGAGGATACGGAAATAGTGTTATTTGTTATTACGTATGATCGATTGCACAAACTTTTAACAGTAAATCCTGATTTTACGGACGATTATTATTATATTATCACGAATTCCAGTGGAATTCAATTTAATTATTGGCTCGAACATGTTTCCGAGAAACAGTCATCGTTGGAATTACAACAACAACAAAGCGAAATGCAACGAGTAAGCATGTATATTATATTATAAAATGCATATTTAAATTCTTGTTATAAATCAGTTTAAGAATATTTCCATCTTTTTGCATTGTATATTTAAATACATTTTCATTTTTTTAATATATTTCAAATAAAAAATATATAAATGTTACCATATTTTTAATTCTTTTTTAAGTTGCTCATCAAATAGTTACAATTAAATTATATACTAATTTAAAATTTAATTAACTAATTTTTTAAAATTACTTTTATGGGAAATTATTCATATATTACGCAATCTTATTAATAAAATATAACGAAATATATACATATATATACATACCCAACATAGGAGATTTCAGAAATTTGTCTCATCATTCTTTGTGGATAAAACATAATTCTTAAATTTAACAAAAAGTTGTCACTATTATTAATAATCTTTCATAATTAAACATGTGTTTACGATGTGTTTCACGAAACTGATTTTAATTGTTTTATTTTGCACTTGGTTAGAAGAATACATTCATAGGATGTGATTATTTTCATATTTAATTGTGTATTTTCGACCATGTTATTATAGTGTAATCAAGATTTATCAGTTATTTAGAATACATCTAATATATGAGAATGATAAAATATATTAAACCGGTGTGGTCTGAAATCCGACTGAATTCTATGGCACTGAATAGCTGCTTGAACACGTTTACACTTATCTGCTGCCTACATATATACACAAACTCACTTATATATCTCTTTCTGTTTATACATATATGATGGAGCAATACTGTCATTTAAACGGAAAAGTAACTTTTATACAATTTCGTAGTATTACGAATCGATCATATAATCTATTTTTTATATTTTTATGTTATATATATAAAATTTTTTTTACTGATAAAATTATTAATTAAAAATATATTTGATGCTAAAAATATTATAATTGAAGTATTCAGTTACTTATTTAGTTTAATCTTTAACATGTCTATGACTATAATATGTATAAAATTATTAAATATTATTTTAATTTTTATATTTTATAGGAAATTAAAGAACAACTGATGCACAAAGAAGCAGAAATATTTCGAGGCATGCAATTAGTATTACCAAATGTATATAAATATTTTATAAAATTAGATATTTTATCAGCTCATAATTTCTTTTTTGATGGGCTTTGTATTTCTTACCATGTTTATTTACCAGAACATTGGAGTACAAATCAAAGTGATAGTTTATTTGGAAGAACTCAAAGATGTAATTTAAAGAATAATTCAGCATATTTTAGTTATGCTTCAGAAATATCATTAGAATTTCAATCAACTGCTGAGCTTGAAATGAATAATCTTCTATCATCTTGGCCTCGATTCTTATTATCAGTTACATCACTTGATAGTTGGTTTAGGTAAATCAATTAAATATAAATATTTTTATATTTATATTTAAATAAAAATAGTAAAAAAAATTTAAATTTAATTCAATAATTAAAAATTTCAGATATCGTACAGAAGGTTATGCAGCTATACCTTTGCCTGTGCTACCTGGTTTATATAAATTTAATATTCCTACTTGGCGACCATCAGGAAGTATTATTAATTCTCTTAGAAGATTTTTCACAGGTGGTACTTATGAATTAGAAGACATAACTTTCTGTAGTATTCCCAAAGGACATGAAGATAAAATATTAAATAAATCACAATTAAATGTTACATCAAGTGGTTATATAAAATTAAAAATGAATATCATTCATCAAACTCATAATTCGATTAAAAATAATGATTACTTAGATTATTTTCAAAAACTGAGTACAGATAAATTTATGTCTAATATAGACAATATTTTTGAACAATTTAAAGCAGCCAGAGAACGTATGTTACAAATTCGAAATTTAAATATTTAATTATTTAAACTTAAATAAGCAATAACTATAAAAAAAATTATATTTAAATAGAAAAAATAATCTGTGATATATTATAAATAGTAATAATAGATTTTATTAAAATAATAATTTATAAAATAATAATTAAAATATTTTAATAAAATTCTTTAATACTATCTTTATTTTTTTTTATATATTATGTACTTCTATTTTTTTAATAATAAATTAAATTTATTTTTGACAAATCAAAATCTAAACAACATGACAATATAAACAATAATATAAATTAACTATTATTAAATATTTTTTAATTAATAATCTGTTCATGAAAAGATTTATGATTACTTTACTTAAATTATTCTATTGAATATATAGATTTTAGACAAATATCAAGTTTTTAATTTTTTATCAATAGAATAATAATATAAATGCAATTTTGGAATATTTATTTGTTAAACTATAAATATATTCTGTCAAATATTGATTGATATAATGTTTTTTTTTAACTATTACATTTTTAACTATGTTACATTTACTATATTTAATATTTAAATTATTTCTTTCTAGATATTTTTAATATTACATAAAGAAAAAATAAAATAATTATAAATAAACACATCCAAAATAATTCATGAACAATATGCAAAATTATAGATTAATATTTTCTTTAAAAAACAAAAAGTTTCAATTATTAATATTCCTGAAAATATATTTTATTTTTTTCATTTTCTTAAAATTTATTATTTTTTAATAACCATCTAAAAACATCCTATAATAAAAAAATTATATAACATGATATTAGTATATTTAATTATGCACTAAAATAACATTTTAGAATTCACTGTTATTTTTCAAAATGTGGAAAGAAAAATTTGACATCTTTTTTCTAAAATATGATTAACTAAAAGACTAGAGTAAAAGTGCAAACATACATCCTATAGATTTTTTAATCATTGTCTTTTTTTTGCTGCTTTTACTGCTTTTGATTTTTGTTTTTCTCCACCAGATAAAAATGATGTTATTACCTCAGACATTTCTGGCATATTATAATTAGTGAAATTATTTAATTGTTCCATTTCCTAAGAAAAATAAAAATAATATTAAAATATAAATTCAACATATATTATATTTACATATATTTTTAATATATATTTTTTATCATTATATAATAATGATATAATATAATAAATTTATGTAATTATATGTATAATTGAAATATTTACTAACCTTTCTGGTTTCAGGATCATTCATAATTTTTGGTATAATCATAATTAACAATAATGGTAATATCATCATTAAAACCTACAAAAATTAAAAAAAAAATAATAAATGTTAATTTTAATTCCTTTTTCTCTTTATAAATTTATAAAATAATAATAATAATTAAAATAATAACTATACCATTGGATTAAATAAAAAGTCTGTTACTCTCCATTGTTCTCTAACTTGAAAATATCGAAATGGTGTTAGAGGTCTCATTTTTAATGGATAAGGAACTTGTATTACTTGCGATGTCTGAATCAAATTAACTTTTCTTGCCCTGAACTTTCCTTTTGAGTTAATTTCTACTCTTATAGGTTCATAAACACAGTTTGGATTTACAACCTCGATTACATATGATCCTGATGGTACATTAGAAATAATAAATGTTCCATCTTCTCTATAAATGTTAAATGCAAAGTAAAAAATATTAACATTTTTTATATTCCTAACCTATATGAAGTTTTAAAAAACAATTATTTCATATTATTTCTATATCTTTGATTAATTTATTACTTTTTTATGTATAGAGAATAATATTTCTAATCTTTACTGAAAATATTTAACGCATATTTACCTTAAGAAACCATAATGTTCTCCACCATTAGCCATGACATGGGTCATTAATTGCCAGCCACTTGGAGCTCCATTTTCCCATGGAAAAACTTTTCCTTCGATAACATATAAATCTGTTGATGCGTCTTCATCATTTTCAGCAATTACATATTTATTGGAGATATTGACAATAATAAAAAGTATAAAAATAAGACTTTTATACATAATCATATTGGATAAGATTCCACATACAAGAAGTTTATGTTAAATGTCTAAATATTGCCACTATAGTAAACTATAGATAATTTTCACTAAATAATAAATTTTCGGAAATTATTTTAAATAATATTTTTAATATTCTTAAAACAGAAAATTTCGTTACACATTCTAGAGATTATATTAAATATATTGAAATAAGCAATATATTTTGACAAAACAAGATACAAACTATTTAAAGTTGTGTATAATTTGTATTGGTAGCACTGAGGTAACTAATGAGTACTAAGCGATTCTTCGATCTTCAAACATCGAAAGTAATGTTGTTGAAGTGCGTTCGGTTGTAAATTTTCAATTAATCTAAAAATATACATTTATATTATTGAAGGAATTCAGAAACAATAAAAATATTAAAATGGATGACAAATTACGTCAAATGGAAGATGAAATGAACAGGTATAAGATAGTTATAAACATATTAAAGTCTTTCTAACCTATTTGCACTATTCTTTTATTTTATCGTTTTTTTTACCTTCACTTCTTTTTATCTTGTAACTAATTATATCATTTACGTTTTTAAAAGTATTGCATCGTTTGTAATTTACATAGTAAATTGTACTATGTGGCTCGTTTATTATAAAGCAAATAAATTATTACAAGTTTAGATAAAGGTAACTGTATAATTAAAAATTTATGACTAAAATAGAAATCTTTTTAATTAATTGTAAATTTAAACTTATTTTTAGGTTTGAAGCTGAAATTGGTGGTCAATTAGTTACACCAATAGTCAGGCCTGTTATTGGTGCAAATACATATAATCAAGTAGCTAGACAGTTAGAACAACATGAACTTCCAACACCAGTTGTTGCTGCTGCTGCAGCTAGTTTAGCTTTTCCTCCAATGATTGGATTTCCACCTCCACCTCCACCACCACCGCCGCCACCTCCACCGCCACCAATGCTAATTCCTCAACAAGTAGCAAGACAAGGTTAATGATTACAAAATATTTTATATATTATAAAAGTTTTATAATATATAATAATAAATAATAAATAATAAACAGTTTATCAATGAAATATTATTTCATATATAGGTACGGTTCCTTCTATTACAACATATTCATCACCTGCACAGATAAGTAATCCATATTTACCAAATATGGTGGATCCGTGTTTAAGTGCTACTCCAAAAACTTATGAATCTACATCAGCACCAATGATTCATCCAGAAATTATTGAACAGATTATCAATACAAAGATCCCAGAAGATGACAGCAAAAAGAAACCCAAGGTGAAAGGAGTTAGTACTGCAGCAGAATTAGCAATTAGTCAAGGAAAAGCAAGTTCCATCATGGCTAATGCTAGTGCAGAAGAAACTCATCCAAAGGGTAAAGGGAAAAAAATAAAAAAATTGTACGAATGGCTGGTGGACAAATATGGGAAGATCCTTCTTTACTTGAATGGGATGAAGGTTAATTATTTATTTATATCTGTACTGTTCATATAATTTATTTTTAAATATATCTTACAATTTTTTTTATATTATAGATGATTTCAGAATATTTTGCGGAGATTTAGGAAACGATGTCACAGACGAAATGCTAGTAAGAGTTTTTGGAAAATATCCGAGTTTTCAAAAAGCAAAAGTAGTGAGAGATAAAAGAACAAACAAGACAAAAGGATTTGGATTTGTATCTTTCAAAGATCCGCAAGATTTCATCAAAGCAATGAAAGAAATGAATGGTAAGTTAATAAATAATTTTTTTATTATAATAATTCAATTATTGATTTTATAAAAAAAAGAATAAATCATAATTTTATATATAATGAAATGGAATAAGATTTTTTAAAAAGAAATTTTGATAAACATATTAATATATAACGATTTTTTAAATAACTATTCATAATTAATTAAAATAAAGGAGATTTTTGATAAATTAAAGACATTGAAAAATACTTAAATATTTACAGATAATATTATTATTGTTTGTGAATATTTTAAAATTTAGAATTGCAATTTATCATGAATGTATTAAAATATAATATAACACTTATTTAAAATTATAAATAATTAAATATTTCGTATACCACAATTATGAGATCAGTATTCCTTTTGAACAGTCATATTTTAAATAGTGAATTCTTATCATTTGCCAAATGGACCCCATCCATATGATATAAAAAGCTGTGGTATTATTGAGTATTGTCTTCGAGTATTTCCGTTACGTACTGCAATGCGAGAATTGGAGTGCATTGTAGCTGGTGTCGTAATTTCAATTTTTCCTTGTTCTTGTTGTTGAGTAGTACCTTAACATATATATATATATACCATATGTATCTGTACATATATGTCTACATAATAATATATTATTATTTTCTTTCTCGTTTAATATTTTCTTACTGGCATGATTTCCACGAGGACCATGTTTCATGTAAAGAACGGAAAAGGGCATGCCACCGGCACTCCAACTACGAGACATAACAACATCCTTCTTCGATAGCCTATTTCCAATTTTGGTACCAAATGTTGAAGCTTGATAAAACTTATTTAAAGGCGCAGAAGCATCACCCCATGCTTCTATTATTGTATTTGGATCTAAGTTTGAAGTTTCTCGTTGAATATTAATTCTACAATCCATAACAACATTATTTTATAGTATATACAGAACAATATGGAAATTAAAGAATTATAAAAAGTATATAGGAATTATATACTTCGACATGGATAAGTTTTCAGGTATAATAGGAACATCTTTTTGAACTTCTTGCACTGGTAACCATTCTGAACATTTTCCATTCGTAGAACACGCTGATGTGACTATGGTATCCAATTCATTTCGCTCTAACGCATTCTTTAAATCAACTAATGGTACTGCTTGACATATTATCCATAATATGTTCAATATAAAGACAGAGACGATTGCAGCGAACATTTTTTTCTTTTTCTTTTTTTCCTTTTTTTTTTTTTTTTTTTTTATTATCTCAAATATATTTTTTCGATCGATATATTTCTCGTGTTCGTTTAATGTTTTCACTTCCGTGAAACGATTCGTATTAATGTAGATACAGCG